TTTTTTTGAGCTTGGTTATAAAAGCAATCTCCTGTGTTAAAAACGTGTGAATAGTTTGATAATTTGTACACATAATCAAGAGCATCTCAGCTGGACTTTGTGTTGGCTGCTGTATAAAACATGAACAAATGTCAAGGGATAGAAAATTACTTTGGATATTTAAAAGAGAAGAAATATATAGTCTATTTGTTTTGTAACAAGTTTCTGTAAATAAAATAATTTATACTATTTATAAGAAAAGGTTGTGCTTTGCTTTATAAGAAATTAGCTTGTGGAACAAACATGTTACTAAACGGGCAATAAAATTAGGACTTCTCAATAAATAAGGTTGGCTGCATGAAATATTTTACATGTTTCTGCCTCGTTGTGATACTAAGCATTTTCAGTCAACTGCCTTCTCATCACTTTTGGCATTGAACACCCTTGTTTGTGAAGCCCCTTCACTTTAGGCTCCCTCTTAATATAGGCTAAATACTTCTAAGTCGATTCTGAGGCTTAGAGATGTTTCCATTTGGGGGCACAAAGCTTTGCCAAGGATAAATTAGTAACTGTGTAAACAGTGAACACTACTGTATTCTGGCCTTGCATGTTTGTGAAGGAAACGAGGGAGTTGATGGATTGAGAAACACATTCTATTTGTACTTGCTTATGTGTAAATTTGATGACATGTAGTTTTGGTTTAAGATAAGCTTTTTATCCAGACCTGGTCTAATCTGTTCGTTTTTTTTACGTACCTCCCTTAATGGCAATACAAGTACATTTTAGTATTATTTGGAACACAGCGTAATTGTTTAACTCTAGAAATCCGGTCAGTTTTACTGTTTGCAAATAAATCATTCTGATAAATTATTTTTGTGGCTTAAAATAAAAGGAGTAACTGCTTTGGGCATTAGAAAAACTGCCCGTACCTGATATGAAAGAGTCAGGTTGGCTTCAGTTCCTGCTGCCCTATGGACTTCCCATTCCCTCCTTACTTAGGTCAACCACCCACTCAGCACTCTCCACAAATCTAATCATGAAGTGCTCTCTGTAGGCAAATCTTTCACCATGGGTGTCCTCAATCCTCCCAAGAAAAGGTTCTGTTGCTCAATCTCTTACTCTTTTTAATTCCATTCCCTTGCAGGTATCCTGGCCCTGCATAACAAGATGATCCCAACTCAAGGAAAGGGGTTTACCAGTGTTGGATCTTGGTATATGTGGGATTTCACCAGGCAGAAAGGCAGGCAGAGTAAGATTTTAGGCAGAGCGAGCAAATGTGTCGAGCATGGATATGAAGATGTGAGGCATAGAGAATAATTCTGCGGGAAGTTTGCTGAATGGATAGGGTTAGAGAAGCTGGTGTCAGACTGTCAAGGACCTTGAATGTCTTGGGACTTTTCATCCAGGAACACATGAGATTAGATTTAGATTAACCCGAATGTAACTGTCAGAGCACAGAGATACTTCACGGTCCAGCACCATGCAGCTGCCAAAAGTCAAAGCCATTCAAATCTGTACTGAAGACTGGAAAATCAAAGGAGCACTAAAGTCTCTTTCCCCATCTCTTGCATTCTCACTCTATTTTCCCTCAAACATTTGTCTTTACCTGCTCCTGTCCCCAATCCTAACTCAAAGCACTCTCCTAAATCAAGTCTAAGTTCCTCTCCCTTCTCATTCCTTTCTTGGTGTCCTCTTTCTCATTAAGTTCTTGCTCCTTTTGTTAATGGAAGTTAATTAAAGTAGTCTTTCACCTTGTAATTCTTGGCACTTGTTATCCTCCTTTTCTACATCCAAAACCTATGAACCAGAATATCTCTTAGGAGGTAAGAGAGGGTGAGGCTATCAGCAGAAGAAAAATAAAAATTCTCTAGGGGGAAGGGGAGAGTCAAATACTTACAATTTAATACTTTGTCAAAAAAAAAAAAAAAAATCTGCCACCTATGGCCCCACAATAACAGTGGAAAACAGAATCGACAGGTGAGAACCTCGGGACAAAAGTTACAAAGCTGTTGTAATCCAGGTAAGAACTATTAAGTTTCCAAACACAGGCTAATCATGAGGATAACTGATACTGATTTCAGAAGTCTTTTAAAAGTAGAACCATCAGGCGTTGAGGCCTAATTCTGTTCAACATTAAAGGGAAGAGTGAATGTAAGACTTCAGATTTCTAGCTTGACCAAACCAATTGAGCTTTAAGTGAAATGTGCGATATGGTAACAGAAGGAAAAGTACCTAACAATAGATTTGAGCTGCTGTTGGGAAATTCTAGTTTAGTGCCCAGCTAGCTGGCTGTACAGGCTAGATGGACCTTGGGAGAGAGGTTTGAGCTGGAAAATAGGAATGGAGAATTGTCTTTTATTTTTAGATGATCAATGAGGTCATAAGAGTAGATGAGTTTATCTGGGAAAATTAGGTAGCTATTAGATTTGGCTTATGATGTTAACATAATACTTATCTAGTTAAGTACTTCATATGCCAGATACTATTCCAAGCATTTCATATCCATCCTCTCTTATACTAAGCCCTTACAGGACAGGTATTTTGATTCCAGTCATACTGATGAGGAACTCCTAAGAAGGTATTTTGCTTAAGGTCCCACAACAAACAGGTGGCGGATCCAGGGTAATTCAGGCCTGTCAGATCAGTGATTCTTACTTTTGCCCCTCCTCAGGCTCCAGGAATCACATGAAAGAAGTTAAGGATCCTGTCCGACAGAGGCATAGTCACACCTCATATTCTGCTTCCAGGATATCACAAACCTGAAGCCCATCCTCCATGGCCCAGAGAGAAAACCCAGGACAAAACCTTGGAGAAGACTATTTTCGTGAAGACGAATGGAGAAGAACACTAGAGTAAAAAGAGGTAAGGGAAGGCAGAGAAGGGTGAGACTGAGATGGCTGACAGTGTTAGAAGTTTAGAGTCGATGCATTATAATTACCAATGCCATCTATCCATTTAGGTAATGTTCTGTTCTGCTGTTTTCTCCAGTATAATTGGAACAGCATGTATTGGTTGGGTGGAAAAGTTGGAACTTAGGCAGGGAGACTGCCAAAGAATTAAGAGTATGAGTGAAGATGTGCCTGAGTGATTGATAATGGTCTGAATTGGGTATTCAGGGAAGAGAACTAGAAATCTACTGTGTAGAATCTACGCAGGTACTCTAAGACATTGGTTTGATTGGAATTACCTTCTTGTTGGCTCTTAGGAATCTCCTTCCATGTAAGTTTTTCTATGATTAGACAATTTATTTTTTCAGGGTCACAGAGCAGAGTCCACATTCAATTCCATATGGCCAATAAAAGTGAGGGGCCACAAGGCAGGATCCAGGGGCCAGAGTGATCAAAGTGATATCACACTTTTAGGAACAGGTCAGGGAATGGAGGAATTGGGATTCCAGTATTATTTTCAAATGCAGAACTGGCCAGAGTTGCTTGTGATTCCTGGGTGGAAACCATAGCAGTAGACAGAAGCTCCACGGAGGAAAAGAGCACTGGAATTCAGGCTGAGGAACTGTGAAGCAAGGGCGTTGTCTGTGTTGTCTATTTCAGAATAGTTAGGGTTGGGAGGAAGACTGAGCCAGCTGCTTGGTTCCGGGATGAACTGCATGAAAGAGGGGAGAGTGACTTGAAGTGTGATTGAGGACAGCATGCACAGTGAATTGATGGTGTTGCTGGGTTGTAAGCAGCTTCGAAGAGAAGGCGTTTTGAATGAAGTTGTAAACAGAATGGCCAGGAGAGCCAGCAGAGGACTATAAAAAGTGAACATCTTGGCCCCAAGTTTTTGAGGTGTATATGAATAAACTAGTCTCTAACCAAGAGGAGTTCAAGAAAAGAGTCCTCAAAAACCAAAGGTAGAGCTTCCCCACATTGATATTATACTAATTACATGTATAACACTACTTTGGAAAAGCACAGGTCTCTGGTCACCTCTAAAAGGTAAGGTTGGTAAGGGTGTCAGGTTGCCACCTGCTGGTGGTCTTAACTAAATGGTCTCTACAAGGGATCTCAGGATGGAAAGGGGATATATAATGGTTGGATTAAAGGCTCATCGATTAGCAAATTGTGTTTTGTTTCTTAAACTCGTGTCTGTACAGGGAAAATTATTGCACTATAAGGGATTATGCTTTGACCATGTTGGACCAGACTGCTACAAATTCCTGATAGCCTTTGTATTCCTTCAGAAACACAAGCATAATGCAAATCTGTGGCTCTAAAGCTTTGAAACCAAAACTAGTGATTATCAGAGCTTTTCATGTTTTCCAGATAGGGACTTTACCTCACTCCCCCATTACCATTGTGGAGGCACAGGTTTGTTACCAACTACGAGTTTATGTGGCATTGGGAAGGCCAGGGATTATCAGTTCCCTCCACCCTTTTCCCCCATAATCACCAGGGCAGATATTTTAACTGTCAGCTGTTCATCCTCTTAAAAACATTAGGTTAACAGCAGCACCAAGGACTAATTCAGAATATGAAATTACAGCTGGGCACGGTGGCTCATGCCCGTAATCCCAGCACTTTGGGAGGCCAACGTGGCTGGATCACAAAGTCAGGAGTTTGCGACCAGTCTGGCCCACATAGTGAAACCCCGTCTCTACTAAAAATACAAAAAATTAGCTGGGTGTGGTAGCATATGCCTGTAATCCCAGCTACTTGGGAGGCTGAGGCAGAATTGCTTGAACCCAGGAGGCAGAGGTTGCAGTGAGCCGAGACTGCGCCTCTGCACTCCAGCCCAGGCAACAGTGCAAGACACTGTCCAAAAAAAAAAAAAGAATATGAAATTATAGAAATGATTTGCTAATGATTAGTAGCCTTCTATCAATTAAAGACCAAATGTGTTCAGTCATAAAATCCTAAGTATATTGGAGTATTGCAGGCACAGTCATCAAGTTGTAGGTATTCTTTTAGCCATCTAGGGCGGGTAAATTTGGTTGCGTAACAAAAGTGGTTTTTACACTGTTTCTGTCCTAAGAGATACTGCTAGCTAAAAGTTGACATAAAGCTGTTATTTCAAATACAGGAAATAGATTACCATAATTTGACATAGCTTTAAAATATTTATCTCTTACTGGATAGATTCGCTATAAAATCAAATTTTGTTGAAGAGAAACTGGCATTGTTGCTTTAAAAATAATCACAAAAGATAGTTTATCCTGGTGTTATCATTTCACACTAGGATAGTTAATTTTGACTGAAATCAGGGTTGCTAACAATAAGGTTAAGTTTCCAAATTCAAAAGAAAACATTTACTGATATGAAAAAGAAACTATACATACTTGTTTTAGCTATCATTTGATAATCTTATTTTCATATTGTGAAGTACCCTTCTTGAATAAAAGCAGAAAATTAAGACTTTCAAAAAACAAGCTGTATAAATTAAAGCTACTGGAAATAGGATGAAGGTTAAGAATTCTTTGGATGGTTTCTTCTAGCTGAAGCTTGTCCATCCTATAGCCCGTGACGGCTTTGAATGTAGCCCAACATACATTTGTAAATTTTCTTAAAACATTCTGATTTTTTTTTTTTTTTTTTAGCTCAACTATCCTTAGTGTATTTTCTGTGTCGCCCAAGGCAATTCTTCCAATGTGGCCCGGGGAAGCCAAAAGATTGGACACCCCCATCCTAGTTAACAAAGGAGGCTGTTAACCATCAACCTCACATGGACACCATTGGAGGTATTGTAGGGCTAACAAACTCAAATGCCAGCATGGGCCAGGAGACAGACAGTGTACATGAACAGACTGGGTGGACTGGAGCACACTGGAACAAACAAGCTATGCTTGCCGCTTACCTTATTGGAACATGAGTCCAGAGTTAGCCTAATCTATCCTTTTTCCAGAGAAGCTAAATACGTGGTTTTTCAATTGTCAACTTGTACGTGGTGACTATAAATGTTTTTCTTGAAAAAGTATTCAGGGTGTGCCAGTTGCAGCCTGTGGGTGACCAAACTACAACAGTGTAGCATACAGAAGCCACCTTTGCTTTCCTGACTAGCTTTGGTTTTCTGTAGAAGACCAAAAAGCTCAGGTTTTTTTCAAGAAATATGTTTTCTAGGTAACCATTTTTAGAAATGCACAGGTGGATATTCTCAAATACTTTAGGCATACTGAGCATTTTAAAAGCCTCCCCTCCACTATACAGTGCCTTACTGGAAACCCATTTCAAAACAGAGCTCTGACCACATTGCTTTCCTTGGTATATAACCAGTAGCTCTTCTTCCAGTGATGAGAGCCACTGTCTTCATTTAAGATAATGCTTCTAATATTTTGCCTTTAGTTACCTTGTTTTGGTAGGGCTTTGATTTCCCAACGTGTTATTCATGTCTAACGAAGAATTTTTATCATGAAGAAATGGTGAATTGTATCAAATTATTTTCAAGCAAATGAGATCATTTTAACCTCAAAACTCTTCTTTCCTTCCTCTGCCTTGTACAGTACGATGCCATCTCCCATTCTCTTCTGAACTCGCCTCTACCAAAACTGCTCACCAGGGTCACCAGCTATCTTTCAAGTAAGCCAAAAAGCCGAGGATCTCCTTTGAAAAATTTTCTCCCCCACCATCCTCCTCACCCCATTCTAATCTTTTAGCAAATCCAACTGCCTCTACAACCCATGCTGCTGAATGCCATGGTGAGACTTAAAAGGTAAGCCAAGTCTGCACTTAAAATTGCCAGTGACTTTCCCTGTTTTTCTTCCCTCCATATGGGCATGGGCTTTCCCTCCTTTTCATGTAAATGTCGTCTTACCAAAGAAGTCTTCCACAACCCCTTATAGGAGAGAGCCTATACCCTGTCTCTCTACCTGGTTTTATATTTCTTAAAAGCACTTATCCCTATCTGATATACTAAGTGTTTAATTATGAGACAAACAGGAACAACTTTGTTTTCCTCACTGCTATTATTACTATAGTCCTACTTCTGGATTACCATTTTGCTAATATTTACACATAAGGTTTTAGAAAATTGAGACTGGCCTTGGTAGATTCTGTAATCCAGGTTATTAATCTAGGTTATGTCAGCTTCCTAAAAAAGGGTAACTTTCTGTCCTATATGGTTACTTGTTGATGAGGGAAAGCTTATTACACATTTTTTTTTAATCTTCTATCTTTTGTATACTAAGTGGGAGACACTGTTTAATTGTAGACCCCACTATATAGTATGTATTCTTCGTAAAATCAGGAAGCTTACAGGTTAACAGATTTAAAGGTAAGAGATAATGGGCTGTGTGAACATGTTTTTTACTGATGAGGCAGTGAGGATCTGAACCTGGCTGCAACCTGACAAACCAGATTTTCATTAATGAATAAGGCAAGTGACCTTATTTTAACATAAGTGGACCCCGTTGTAGAATGCATATGTGTTTAAGAAAAAATAAATGGAAAGAAACAACAATGCAGTATTTATTTTATACAGCTGACCTGGGCACATAGTGAAGTAGTAAGCTATAAAAATTCAAACAATTATCTCTAAAGGAAATCATTTGTTACATGGCTTTACATATTGATTACCCTGGAAAGTTTTTGAACTCTGTTTAGTAGCAGATCTCCTTTCTTGATTGTTTCTTGGTACTGCCAGTTCTTGCTATCAGGTCTATAAATAAATTCAAGAAAAAATGAATTATTTAACAGTCACATTACTCCATAACGATAGTTGACCACCTTCAAAAATTTAGGAATGCCCCTTCCTTTCATCAGTGTAACAAATGATACACAAAATGAAAGTACCTGTTGGTTTCTACTATCTCATTCACTTTATCTATTTTGCAGTGTAGTCTCCCAGCAGCAATAAATCTGGACAGTTCCCTAATTCAGAGAAAAAAAATAAAAGCATTAGCTTTACAGAGAATTCTTAGAAAAATAAATACTGCACTAAAATACTGTCTTAAATTTTTAACATTTACTTTCCCTTCAAGCTTGGTACTGCATATGCAGTAGTTGAGGTTGTCCCTTTAAGTCACCTACCAGAATAAACATGATCCTAGAAGTTCATATTCAGATGGAAAGCAGGTCAAACAATGACACCATTTATATATACTCAAAGGAAAACTAGGTTATAGGAAAAATTATGGAATAAAACTGACAAAACTAATAAACTCTTTCAAACAAAAGACCTAAAACAAAATTATAAGACCTAAAACAAAATTACAGAATACAGCCCATGGGTAAACATGTCAACAGCAGTAATATTTAAAACAATGACCCCTTCCCTCTCCAACATATCTTAGTCTAAATAAGTTGGGGGTTGGGAAGAAATGATTATTGCCTTGCCCATTTTAAAAAAGAGGATTTCATCTAAACTAACTTTTTAGGGGAAAAAAAAGAATAAGGAATCCATGAAAACTCAGGTATCACAGAAATTTAAAACAAGGCTTTTTTAGGGAACAACTAAAGCTCAATGGTACAGCCTTTGCCTCTCGAGCTGGTCTTAGACCATGAAGGAAAAAAAACCAAACAATTCAAATACTTCGTGAATTCAACTACTACCTGAAAGATACCAGCTGCCTTGTCACCTGTCATCAAGATGTCTTAGGGGCACACACCACAGTATTCCTTAACTAGTGAAGGCTTTATCACATCTCCACATCACAGTTAAGAAACTGAAGAGGAGACAATCTGACCAAGGCCACAGAGCTGGAAAAAGAAGCAAGGCCAAGCTCTTTTTCTCATGGACTGCTCACAAGCCACTCATTTTACCGACTCAGGAAAAACATCCAGAATGCCCAACCCGTACCCTCATGAACAACCCTCTTGGGCAGTGGTCATCAGACTTCAATTTCACAGACTAGAAGTTCAGACATGGAACAAAACCTCGGGATACCGGCCTTCTATTTTGGTAAACATCATTTAAAAAATGTGTTGGTGTCTAACACTTAATTTGAAGTGGTTAAAAACATAAAATGGGTAGACTGTGACAAGTATAACAAAATGTTAAAATGTACTGTACAATTCTTTAGAATTTTATGGATGTTTGAAATTTTAAAAATATTAAAAAGAGAATAGTCTTATTTAATGAAATGCATCTTCATTTAAGGTTTCCACTGTGGACCACTGAAAACAACATCAACATTTAAAAACACCTCCATGTGGAAACCACTGATCTCGATACCATCTGGACATCCTATTACTGTGAATGTCTCTTCTCCCCAAGTCTACTCTCACCACCCTCGTGCAAGCCACATTAACATCCCCTCCATGAGCTACTAAACAGCACAACTGGTCTCTCTGTCACCTTACTCTATATAAGACACAGCATAAGACAGATGATGTAACTTGGGCTCAAAAATCTTCCAATGGCTCCCCATCAAACCTGAATTAAAACCCAACCTCCATTCCATGACCTACAAGGCCCTACACAAATCATCACCTGCATAACTCTCCATATATTATGCTCACATTCTCCAACCGCTCCCCCCACTATGCTGCAGCCACACTGACATTTTCTGTTCCTACAACATCCAAGCTTGTTCCTGGCTCAAAGCCTCAGCCTTTTCTATTCCGTTTTCTGCATGCAGAAGGACTCCATATAGCTGACTCCTCTCAAGTCTCGGAACAAGCCTCACCTCCTCAAGTATGCCATATGTAAGGACAGCATTTTCTCATCTCCATAGGTTCATTTCTATGTGGAATTACCTTGTATATTTATTTGCTTACTTGCCATCTCTTCCCTACTACTACATTCAAAGTCTGTTAAGAGGGAGCTATAACACGATACCAAACATAGAGTAATGGCTCATTAAGTATTTGTTCAATCACTGATGGCTGTACTAAAAGTCCCACATTGAACAAACAATTTGACCAGAATTGCAGCAACAACCTAAAAATTGGAAGAAATTATCAGAGGGAATATGACCAACTGTAAAATATAAGCAAATCTAACAGTCATTACTGTAGCTGCAGTGTGGGCTACAAAGAAGTAACAGAAGACAACTTTTGATAACTTGTCTAATGACCTTTAACAAATCAACCTCACTACAACTCAGTTTTCCCATCTGTTAATGCAAGGGGCAGACATGAGAAAGGCAGGTGATAGACATGAATGACTGTTTTGATATTAAGGGAAAAAACCTTCCACTCCACCTTAAGATTGAGGGAACCAATGTAAACGAGTAAAAAACTGCACAAGGTCACATATTAAAAGCAATTTTAAAACTTCAATTAACATGACATTATTTACACTTACTGATCAATGAATTCCACACCAACACCAAATGCTTCTGCCATATAGCCAAGGGTTAATGACCTGTATGATTCCAGCAGCTGACTGTATGCATGAATTCTCATTTCTCTTACATAGTATCGATAATGAGGGGCAAAAAGCCAGTCCTTTTTCATTTCCTGTTCCACAACCGCTGCAATGAATAAAATGACAAATTATAAGAATCTCCTTTTCAGATAAAAAGATTAAAAACTTTAAGCAACACTAGTTGAGTCCAACAGATAGATCAACAAGTACCAAATTTCTCACTGCCCTTCCACATCATGACATCAACAATGGCGGCCAACAGCAGTGATAAAGGAAGAGCCAGGTATGCAAACGTTGCCCTTAAGTAGCAGGTAGCTATTTGACGTCACCATCAGAAAGAGCACAGCTTCTAAAGGAACTTGTTCACATATGACAAAGTTCACGTACATGTACAATATATATATTGAGAAAGAGTTTCACTCTTGTTGCCCAGGCTGGAGTGTGATGGCATGATATCGGCTCACTGCAACCTCTGCCTCCTGGGTTCAAGTGATTCTCCTGCCTCAGCCTCCCTAGTAGCCACCACACCCAGCTAATTTTGTATTTTCAGTACAGATGGGATTTCTCCATGTTGGTCAGGCTAGTCTCGAACTCCCGACCTCAGGTGATCTGCCCACCTCAGCCTCTCAAAGTGCTAGGATTACAGGCGTGAGCCACCGTGCCCGGCTATGTACTATTTTAACCACAGAGAACTCCTTATGCCTTAAGTAAAATAAAATTCACTTTTAAAATAATTCTAACAGCAACAGCAGGTACAGTAACAAATGACTTACACAGACCAGAAAAAAGATATAATCATATACTTTCAAAAAGGAACAAAACTCAGAAGCAAAGAAACAAAGACTGATGACTCCTATTTCCTATTTGTTCATGTAAATAGTCTACAAACCAAAAAACTATGAACAAGGTTTGAAGACAAATGCTAAACTAGAAAATGTATTTATGAGTTAATGACCTTGATCCAGAAAGAGGTCTTTAGAAGTCAATTAAACAGTAAAATGTATGTAGAATATTAATAAGTAATCCACACAAATATAAATTATTTCACTGAATAACTCCTGCTCTAGTTAGTTATATGGCAGTGAACCAAAAGACCCTTGCTGCCACAAAAACTAAATTTTCAAAGGGCAGAGATAGATGAACAAATATACAAGATAACTACTGTGAAGAAAATAAAAGTAACATGATAGAGTTACTAGGAAGCCTTCCACTGGATTGGGGTGGACCGGGAAGAAGACCAGTCTAAGGGGCTGGCTAAGCACAGAGCAATGTAAATGATACAAAAATCTGAAGGCCAGAAAAGCACGGTTAAACCCAGGAACAGAAAGGATGCCAGACTCAGAATGGGAGCAGGAAGACAGCTACAGGGATATAGAAGGTGAGCAAGAGAAGAGACTCTAGAGTATACTTATGTTTGCGGATTGAACAAGATGGAAATCCCTGGAGAAGGAGAATACTTGTTTTTAGTTTTGGGGGTGAGGGTGGGATTCAAGCATACTTTAGCGGTGTTCAAGTGGATATGCCTTTTAAACAGTCAAATGAGGACACTAAGGAAGCATTAAAGCATGAGTCTGGTGCTCCAGTTTGGGGTTAGAGACATGAATTTGTCGTCACTGCCATCCAGATGTATTTAATGGCACAAAATGAAGATAAGAGACAAGGGCAATAACTCAGTCTAAGGTAGTTACTGAGAGGTCTAACAATAGGTGAGGAGGTAGGTCCAGAGAAAAACAACAGCCTGTTACTGCAGAACCAAGAGAAAGCTGTGGTGAGAAGCAAACGATGGTCAACAACAAGGCACATAAGGATGAGCAAGGGAACATATGATTTAGCAATATGGAGATCAATGGCTACTAAACATGAGATGGTGCATATTCTCATTTACAAGAGAAATGCATAAAACGTCAAATTTATTTCTGTCCTCTCAGACTAGCAAAGAGTACGGAGAGGGTGGGACAGGTTATCTCAAATGCTATAGATTGAGAGAAGATAAATTGTCGAAAGGTACACTGGCATTTCTGGAGGGCAACAGTGGTCACGACACAAAATATTTAACCTTTGGAAAGTTCAATTTCTTAGACTTTTTTCCCAAGGAAATAACAAGTGGGACAGATGCACTGTTGAAGTATTCAAAGCAGGGTTGCTTATAATAGGGCAAAATTGGAAACAACCTAGTTTTCTATCAGTAGAGGATCAATTATGGCATAGCCAATACACTGAAATACTAGGAAATACTTATGAAAGGATAACTTGAAGCTCCATAGGAATGCTACCTGTTCAATCTGCTGCTATTCTCAATGTTAGCACACGATAGCCACTCATAAACACTGACAAAATATTTTACCAACTATATATATAGTGACATGAAAAGATAAACACGTTACTTGTGAAGAGAAAAAAAGGTACTTAAAAAACAGCATATAAAATACATCCACAATACATAAAGGTGTTACATGCTTGTATCTGTCAATAACAGTGCTCTTGAAAGACACACTTGAAAACCTGATTAACAGCAGTTGCCTCTAGAGAAAGGATACTGGTGATTACAGATTAGAGAAAGCCTTTTTCTTCTTTATATGATACTGTTTAGAACTGTTCCACGTGTACATATAACCTTGGTTTTTAAATGTTTTTTCTTATTTAAAGTACATATAATAAATGAATAAAAGGTCTAGAAGGATACATAACAAAATTATTAAAATCATTATCTCTGAAAAAATTTTATATGTGAATGAATGTGTGTATGGAGTTGGCCTTTCTCAACTTGTTTTTAATTTCTAAATACAGTCAAGTATTACCTAGAAAAGGATACTGCTTTTCCAAGGAAATTATTTTAGAGCACATAATTATCAGGCACTGTCCTGTTGTCAGGGTCATTATGAAGATTAAAAAAAAAAAAAAGCATAAGGTCTGCTCCCAGAAATTCTAGTTAGCGAAGGAGGCAAACTAAGAAATTATCACAAAACAGTGTGCTAAGTTTTAGCAAAAGGGGCACATGGCCAGTAAGTACATGAAAAGATGCTCAACGAAACTAGTCATTAGAGAAACACAAATCAAAACTACAATGAGATATCATTTCACACTCACAAAATACCTATAATAAAAAAGACACAAAAGAATAAGTACTAGATGTGGGAACACTGGAACCCTCACACACTGCTGATGGGAATGTCAAATGGTACATGTAGTCGTTTTGGAAAACTGGCAGTTCCTCGAAAAGTTAATCAGAGAGTTACCATAAGATGCAGCCATTCCACTCCACATGTCCACACAAAAAGCTGTACACATATCTTCATTACAGCATTAGCAATAATAGCCAGAAAGTACAATCAACCCAAAAATCTATGAACTAATGAATGGGTATAGTATATACATATAAGACTATCCTTTTACTATAAAACAAAATGAGGTACTGATACATGCTACAACATGGATGAATGTGAGATCATTATAAAGTGAAAGAAGCCAGGCACAAAAAGCCACGTATTTTATGACTGCACTTATATGAAATGTCCAGAACAGGCAAATTTGTACAGGCATAAGTAGATTAGTGGTTGGCAGGGGCTGGGGGAAAGGAGGAATAGGGAGTGACTGCTAATGGGTATGGGTTTCCTTTTGGGGTAATCAAGGTGTTCTGGAATTACTAGTATTTGCAAAACCTTGTCAATATATTAAAAACCACTGAATGGTACACTTGAGGCAATTTTGTGGTATGTGATTTATACCTCAATTTTTTTTTTTAAAAGGCAGGGGCATACAATGAGAACCCCAGGAATGCAGAGGAGAGATTTGTTTTGACTGAGGGAAGCAGGGAAGGGCTCTGTATTTGAGTTGAGTGATGACCAGAAGACCCCAAGCATAAAAAGGGAAAAGAGCAATTCTACAATATAGTAACATGTGCAAAAGCAACATAGCTTTGCATGTATGTATGAGATGATAAGGCCTAGTAAGTAACTGATGGTGCTGGAGAAACCTGTTCCTACATTACCTGAGGTAAGTACTATGAATTCTCATAAAGCAGCCTGATTTGTATGCTTGGAGAAAGTATCCATAAACACTGGGCCAAAACCCACTGCAAAAACATTAACAATAATCATTTGGAGTCCTTCATTCCCACTTTCACCAATGCTATCTTATTTAACCAAACACCTTCTGAAATTTGCAGCATAAACAAGAGAATATATCAATACTAAATTTTAAGTTTTGGGAAAGACCCCTGGGTCAACTTGATGCAAGCTAATTCTTCTATCATCTTAATAGTTTGTGGTCATTAGGAAAACAAGCAAATGTGTGTAGGCAGGATGACTATAAACTAGATTTGAAGCAATACAATTATGTTCAACAGATTATTTTCTTAACCCATAGCCCTTGAAAATGATTTGCAAATCAGCACAAAGATGTAGCTATTGAGCTACTGCACACAGAATAACCATTGCTGAATTCAAGGTTCAATTAATCTCTACCCCAAATCACATTCAGAATTCCCTCACTTCTTTCCCCATGAAGCTCAATAGTTATAAACATTTGCTCACTTCTGCCTTATACTCCATTAAGACTATAAACCAGGAATCTGGCAAACATCCTCAGCAAAGGGCCAGGGAGTAAATACTTTTAAGGTTTGCAAGCTACATAGCTCTCTGTCACATCCTCTTTTTTTAAACATCACTTTAAAAATGTAAAAATCATTCTTACCTCCTGGGCCATACAGTGGGCCACAATTTGATGACCCTTCTTCTAAACAAAACTGAGCACATTAGGAATACTGATCAGAGAGACCTGCAGCTATCTACACAATACATTTCTCAGATAGGTGAAAAATCGCTTTAGGCACGTGGGATCAGGAGTAAGATGAAGACAGTCAAAAATAGCAACTCTATCCTTACCTAATGATTGGAAGAAAACAGAGTAACGGCATTCATAGAGTGAAAACAGATACTGTCGAACTGCTGGAAGACTGTGCAACACTTCAAGAATCTCTGCTCCTTTAATGACCTAGGTATTTAAAAAACATATATGCAAAAAAAAATGTATACTTTAATGATTTTGTGTATTTAAACAGAAAAACGAATTTTAAATATGAGTATTAAAGTTTGGTCATTACCTTTTCCCTGAGATCTGGTCTTTCTAAGGCAATCATACTGACATAGACCGTATAAGTTACAAATGTTTTATAATCCATGAGTTCATAGGATGTAAATGTTGAAACAGTATCAAGGAAGAGTTCGGCTGCCTGTTTGAAATCACGAATAGCCACACAATAAAGACCCTGATATACTTTTAGGCGGTTTCTCCTGTCCCAGTCTCCTCCTTCTTCTATTAAGCTATGAAAAACAGTAAGAGATCATAGTCTGGCAACAGACAAGGAAAGGTTTTAAAAAATTTTCTGTTATTTGAAATGAGAAAACAACTTTTAACAACTTGAACCAAAAGGTAATATTTAAAGAAAATATTTTACTAAATAAGTACATCAATTATTTGACCAAACTTACTACCTGTAAACAAAACAGGCAGTTACTTATATCAGCTTCTCATTTGTGGCATCATAATTTAGAGAATATAATCCCACTGTTACAAAGTACCTTTTGGCCTTTTCTGTGTTTCGTGTGATGAGATCATTATCCATATAAAATAAGCCAATCCTAAGGAGATAGAATACAATATCCAACCGGTGACCCAGGGCCACAGTTTTGTCATATGTCTTGCGAAAAGCTGTCAGAGCTCCCTCCTGTCAAGAAAGCCAAGGCAATAGGTGAGAAAAGGTTCCAAGCTTCCAAAAAAAAAGCTATCAGCTGTCTGGGATTTTCTTGAAAGGTTGGGGGAACAGGTAAGAGTAGAGGTATAACAAGATGGCCATTAACTGATTTTTGTTGAAGCTGGGTGATAAGTACAAAACGGTTTATTATTCTATTTTCTCTACCCATATAAAATATAAAAAATACATAAGAAATGCCCAAGCATTATATTCTGGAAAACAATATAAGAAAAATACATTCAGAATTGTTAACTATTTTTCTTTGTTCTGTATATTCAATGTTTTTTCTCTTTAATAATTACAATACACTATTTCAAAATAACTTAATCATATCATCTGAAGGGTTTTGGAAATTATATCTTAGTATAATTTGAAACTGAATTTGTAAATACGTAATTCTCTCTCAAAGCACTGTGGAATGTTTCCTTTGCTTTAAAGACAAATATATGAATAAAATAATTTGTTTGCACTTGTTAGTTTTCAGTATGTGTGCCTGGTTTATGTAATTGTTAGTTATATTTCATAAATTTATCAGGGACTGGCAGGAGAGCAATGGGTACACATAGTCCTCAGAGCTTGGTTTCTAAATGCTATCCCCCACTAAAAGGAACCAGGGATCCTAGAAGAAAAGGGTAATTTTAGATTTATTAGAGTGAAAATAACAGGTGAACCTGTGACATTTTGTTTTATCAGAAAATAAGACTAATGAGATCTGTCAAAAGGACAAAGACAATGTCTCGAAGGAGCTTCCACTAACAAATTTGCAACAAACTTAGCACCATAAGGAATAAAGGCTCATCAGTGGTAACAGTGAAGAATAAAAACCCACTAAGTCCATTAAGTATTCAGTAATACTAAATAAAATATAAAAAAAGAGAGTAGGGAAAAAGTTGTACTTTTTGGAAGAATGACATTTAATAAATAGAGGAAATATAATATTGAACATCATTTTATAACTTCCTGATACTGATTCAAGCATGTCCTTGTTGAAATTCTTCAAACCCTGAATCAAAAGTTTTAAGTTTCTCATTCATATGTAATATATGTCTTTAAAACCAAACCACAAACACAGCTTAAAAGTAAATTGAAACTTCTAGCTAATTTTAAACTTTTCTGTATTTTCCAAATGTTTACAATGACTGAGTTATAAGTTTACAACCAGAAAAGGGGGGGAAAAAAAAAACAACTCGTTTTAGATACACATTACAAAACAACATTCAGGCACTATGTGCCAGGTACCAGTCTAAGGTTTTTCCTATCTTTAATCTGCATTAAGTAGAAACTATCAGTACCCCTATTTTACGCATGAGGAAACTGAGGATTTCATAAATCATAATTACCAAAGTTGAAAACAGAACCCAGGAAATCTGATTCAAGAGCTCACACTATTTTTATTTTTGTTTTACTGGCACCATGTCATTCTACACCTAAGTACTTCCAGGTAAATAATTTAAAATTAAGATCATTCAAAGCCCATCCTCTTAACCACTATTAGAGTTACTCAATTAAATTTCAAAGATCCAGTAATGGTGGGTAACCCTCTGGTGCCCTGATGGTGGAGTAAAATTAAGCTGGCTGTTACACAGAACTGGCCACACACATTAAAAAAACAAAAAATACTTGTTCACTGTCCCAGCAATTTTGTTTCATAGACTATACCCTGGAGAAACACTAGCATATATACACAGAGACACACACGAACATGTTTTTAAAGCAGCGATTTGCTAAAGCACAAACAGATGAAAACAACACATATGTCTACCAACAGCTGAACAAACTATGACAGAACTAGCTCTACAGTGGAACATCAGGCAGCAGTTAACCAGGATGAGCCAGATTTATGTATAATAGCAGGGAAAAGACCTCCTAAATGTTGAATGAAAAGGGTAAACGGGACTACATGAGTACACTAGGATCCCATGGAAAAAAAA